CTCACGATGATATTTTCTTTTGCTTTTACAAAAACTCATAATAATAATTCTTCTTCTTATTTCTATACAAAATACAAATATACGAACTATAATAGTATTAAAAAAAGCTCTTTCTTTAAAATCAGATAATTAGTTTAATGAAGTAACAAAAATAGTAATGAATAGTAAAAAAATCTTACGTTCGAATATTTTTTAAGACGCACTCCATAAAATTTTCTGTAATATTGTATGTAGAAATTTTATTATCAATTTTCGATTAAAATATTTATAATTATTCGTTCAAATCTTACTCTAACTTTATTTATTCTTCGTCCGTTCCATTTATAAATGATACGATATTACATATATTTGACTCAAATGGTTAACGTACTCGTCAATTTAATAATTGGCAAATAATTAAAGTCAACAAAGCCCAATTCACAGTAATTTTATACTTTTAACAATAAATTATACATTAATTAATGTTTAAATTATATTGCCAATAAATGAATTAGTAAATGATTACTTGAAAAAATGTATGGAATCAAAAATTAATATGTACTCTGGATAAGTCATATTCAATAGCTAGCCATGAAAAATTAGATTTAATAATTTTGAACATTTTAATTTGGAATGTAATTACTCATCACATAGAGTAGGTAAACATCACTTATAGCTAAAAAAGATTTGTGCGCAATGTAGATTACTCGTTATATCACGATATTTTTTTATAATAATTTCCAGTTGCCTGGTGACTTACTGTACAACGTGCTCAAAAGTTTCGATGTTATATCGGTAAAAAATTTTTTTGTAAGTTTTCGTGTAAACAGTAAATAAAATTTTATTATTTATTTGTGTCAATAAACACGAGTCAGCAGCTAAATTAATTATTGATCTTTATTATGCACATATGCACAAATCGTACAAAATCGATCGCGCTGAATTCTATCAAAGAATTCTATTGCTTTCGAGAATTCTATGCATCTTAAAATATTCTAAAGAAATTTCATTTTTTAACAAATTAACCAAAATTGAATTTAGAATTCTATTTAGAATTAAACTGTAAATCTTGCCTGCGATCTGCAGGCAAATAATTAGTTTGATGGCGATGGCTAATTTTAGTACCATGTAAATAAAGAAATGCAAGGCTTATTTTGGAAATGTTTTCTAATTTAATTATAGTTTAATTTTCTTAAAATATTTGTCCATATTTAGAAATTTTCAGCATAATTTTAAAAATAATTTTCAGTTTAGGAATTATTCTACGGAAATTTCTAGTGAAAATCCTCCTTTTTGAAATCTTCATCAAACATTGATTTATTAGATACATTGTGAAGGGCAAAATAGAATTGATTATACCAGAAACACCTCCGAGATACAAGAAATTATATTGATACAAATTTACAACATTTATTAAAATTATTATATTAATTATGTAATGAGTAATAAATTATTTATGAAAATTGAATTTATTTAACAGATTGCTGGAACCACAATAGAATTTCGCAACTAGAAATTCTTAAGTAGTTAAAATCTTTCTGAAATAATTATCTCTAATGCAAGTTTTGAATTTGAAGCTTACAGACGAAATTACTTCTGTCAAATTAGAAACGCAATTACCTCCTCACAATGTCTCAGATGAAATTATTTCTGTTAAATTTGGAAAGACAAAAAGTAGAGAACATTATTTATATTTGATATTTTTATATATTTATTAAATCGTAAAACTTTCTTTTTATCGATTTTTCTGCTGAAATTAGTGAGTCTATTAATGATTTACTTGAATTTTTCATTGATTTGTACGAAAAAACCTTCGAAAATGTAACAATCATGATCAAAAATTATTTTAGAGAATGTAAGAGTTCTAAATGACAACCATCTTATTAATATTTAGTAGCCTAATATGATTTTTTTTTATCTGTATGGCATTGGGACTGTTATTGATTACGAATGGCATTTGAATTCTTAGCTTGGCAGCTAATGAAATTGCTGATATGCTAATTCATCATCAATAAGGAAACTGTACGAGATTAACAAAGAAATCTATCTTGAAAGTTTGTATTTTGATGGTCAAGGTGCTGAAAAGGATAAAACAATGGTATTTCATGTTGCTAAATAAAGTAGCATTAAGTTATGGCCATCAAAAGAAGGCATTTGAATTATATTTGAAATCTACTGACAAAGGATATCTTGCAGAAACCATAATGTTGATTATTATTATACAGTTAAAAGGAATATAAAAAGGTGAAGTTAATGCAAAACGTTTTTTTGCAATATTAATACTGGCTATTGTTATAATTGTGGTATTGGAGTGAATAACATGCATTCGAATGATATCGAAGACTGTTGGAAAAAGATACAGTATAATTAATGAGTACATTCTGTGGAGGGAGGAGGAGTCGATAAGGATCAAGTGAAAGCATTTGAATGGTATAAAAAAGCTGCAGAAAATGTTACTTATACTGTTGAATACTATTGTGAAGGAAGTGGACTAAGAGAGATATTGTAAAGCTGTATTATTAATCTAAAGAATTTATCAATAGAAATCTTAGAGAAGTTCTCTATGGTAGTATTTTTTAAAAAATAAGATTTATCTTTTAACTATTTGATTCAAAAAGATATAATGTGACTGGATAATTGATTGTTAGATTCAAAGAGAAAAATACAAAGTTTGAAATTTGAATAGAAAATTTCGATGGTGCATTTTTTGTAATCAATCAATACTTTCTTAAGATGACCAAGATTATTTAAGTAATGAACTTGATGTGCTGTATATGTTACGTTGGAAAAGCTATCTAAAGCGATGTCAATTAAAATCGTGATTTTTGTTTAAACGGATCAGCCCGACGAAGATACAGATGTCTAAACACATCTTGGTGCGCTAATAAAAATGTCGGAGAGAAATTTTACATATAATATCTACTTGAACCCTTTAAAACCTGATCCTCACTCAAATATTAATTAAATCCGGGTAATCATGTGATTGACTCCGCTTTAGGCATCTCCTCACTCCTTACTTGGGTAAAGTCAATCAAGATTTATATCCAATCAACTAAATTCAAATATGCTGTTCACAAAGATATGTGGTTTAATATGAGACAGATCACAAGATGCGAATTTTGTGATCGAAATTTTATCATTGATGATCCAAATCCAATCCGAATGTGAACAATCCGAATGTGAACACACTCATTATTATCTGGAATTTCCCGAGGAATTATAGTATTGGATAATATTTTCAAAGTAAAAGAAACAAAGAAAAAAAAAACAAATAAACACTTACCCCTGAATAATATTTTAATAATTTATTTATATTATTTATTAATCACAATAATAACGATTGATTGTTCACATTCCAAGTCTATTGCCCCTATCATATCATCAAATTAGATCCGATATGTCACACACATATGTAATATGACTATTTAATGGAAAATTATTATTTGATAACATTATAAACTATTGTCTTGTCTATTTTTATTATTTTTTAATGCTTATCACTTATGAAAAAAGAGCTCACGGAGTTTTAAATAGCAAAAGTTACCGGTATTATATATTTTATTTTATTATTTTATTTATTTTTTATAAATTGCTTATCAGTTTCCTTATTTAGACTTTGCCCATGACTTACATATATTCACCCATATGGCAGGGTTGAAACTATACAATGTACTAACTATATTAATTTTTGTACTTCCCAACCCTGATTATGGTTGTAGAATTTGGAATATCGTCATTGTAACAAGTGTGCAGCTAAGTAATAATTGAAAACGACAATAATAATTATAAAAAAAATATTATATTCATTATTCTTTCCCCAAAAAAGATAAATGATAATCGCAATTTTGCTATTTAACATATTTTCCGAAAATTTTTTTTTTTATATATTGATAGCAGAACTACTATTACGATATTTAGAATTTATTGTTATAACTTCGATCCTTTGAACAATTTATAAATTACTAATTGGTTAGACTATTAATCCATGATACATGAGTTGATTTTAGATATTATCCAATGATAAACTCATTGTTTTGAGAATCTCACGATTCCGAGAAATCCATATTCAATTATTAAAACACATCTACTGTACATATCTGATATGATTTTATGCAGTTAACTCACGAATCATAAATTAAAAGTTAAATTATTTATTATTTTTTTTTTGTTATTTCGTGTTTAGTCTGTGCTAAAGAATAAACTTTAATTAATAGACAAAGGTCTTTATAAACAAAAGTATTGTGTATACTTTATTAGATTCACGGTTGTAGAGAATTACATCATCTATCAATTCTTTTTTTGTATGGTTTAATAACTCATATCTGACTTCATTGATTCTATTTTATTATTTAAATAAACATAATTATTAATATTTTATACCTTATTTTTAAAAATTTAAAATTCGGGCCACGCCTAAGAATAAAGAATAAGACTTGAACATATTTTTTATTTTAGTTTTATAATTTAATATTATATATAGATATTATTAAATTGATTGGATTGATTAGATTGAAAGATAGAGGTTCACTCATGATATTTTTATTTAAAAAATTATTAAATATTTCATATGATTCAAATTTATAAAATAAATTTAAATGAATTATATAATGCATTATTTGATATTATTTATTTTATTTGGTCTCGAATAAATTAATTGTTAACAATGAAATAAATATCAGTGACACCGAAAAAAAACTTCCCACAATAAAATAGTTACAGTATAAAATTTTTTTTTATTTATCTTTTCAAAACATTAATTAAAATAATTTTCAACTGCTTCTCATTTTCTATGGTTCAGAAACAGCTTTGAGAATATAACATGATCAAATTTTCGTGACACCAAATCAATATATAAAAGCAAGAAAAAATACATATAAATATAATAAGAAGGAAACCAATAAACTTACAACTTGATGGTTGATTATAAATATGTCCATTCATCCTTTCTCTATTCTATAATTATATTTAATAAAATTATAAGATTATAGAAAATTATAAAAAATTTTATAAAAATATTTAAAATGAATAACTTCGATACCCTACTTGCAAACATAGATAGAAATTCTATATATCCCCCTCCTCGAATTGAAGAAGTATTAAACTATTTTAACTCTAGGAGACCTATGTGTGACTATAGAAGATACCATGCATGTAAGATATTTGGATATTCGGTTGCAAGGGAGTGTAGAAGAATAGGAGAATTCGATGCCATTCTAATAAGACGAGCCACGAATCACTTCTGGAAAAATTCCACAAGACAAGAAAAATCTGGATACAGGGATTTAGCACAAATATTGAAAACTCTATAACATTTTTTTTAATATTTAATTAATGAACTTTCTCTAAGTATACATTTATTTTTTTTTAATCCAACGGAGTCTTGCTCCAATAAACTTTTATTAATAAATTAGATGTAAATTTTAAAGATACAAATAATTTATTTTACATTAATTGAAACTGACTAAAAATAACATTTTACTGTCCGACTCATCTTTGCCTAAGTGTAACCTCAGGAACTGATGGCCAAAACCCCATCAGATGTAATTATTATACATATAACTATAATTATTATTATATTTGCATCTAAGTTAATCCACATTCTAAATTTATGTATCATATTCTTTTCTGTTTGTTCTATTTTACTGTATTTCGCTTCATTAGTTTCTACTAACTTTATACTGTCATTATATTCTCTTATTTCCCTCACCTTTTTAAAATATATTATTCCCTTTTTTTTCTTTTTCAATCTATTTGTAATATTTCTAAATATACATTAAATTTCGAAATTATCTAAGACAATCTAAATTTTGTGAATGATTCTTTCTCTCATAAATTGAGTAAGAATAGCTTAATACTTTAAAGATTTGATAATATATTAACCATAGCATGCATGTAGCACTATTTCATCTCCTTCCATGAGAACTATAATATCATTTTTTACAAATACACTATTGTGCATAAAGTCTAAAGGCATCAAATATTTCAAATACTAAACATTTGTATCCAAATATAGAATTTAAAAAAAAAAATACATTATTTGATAGCTTTATTATAGCATACTATAATTATATAAAAAAATGTTATTTCGATTTATTTTTATTTCAGTTTATTCATTTATGATAAAAGATCATTCGTCTTTTTTCCGAAAAGTAAATTATTCATGAAAATTTATTTTATGAAATTGCCAATTATATTAAAAAAAATACGAATATTTTTTCAATTTATTACGCTTACCTTATTCCACTTTTACATTTACGATATAGTGATAGCACCTGTCAACTGAAGACTTCTTCTCAATGAAAAAGAAAACATTATTCATACATATATTTATGTAAATCTACTTGTTTTTAATTAATTCAATGTAAATAATGATGATATTATTTATTATTGTAACTGACATGAATATATAGTATTTATTATTGTAACTAATATGATATTGTAAATAAATATAATTACTAGATAATTATATTTTTATTAGAATTAATGAACTAATTTTTTTTATAACTACAGTATAACAGTATAATAAATTTGAATGTATTAATGAATCGAAAGAGTAAAATGTTATTTTGATATTAAATAAAATATACTTGATAATTTATAAAATGCGGAATACAAATCTTCAATAATAACAAAGTATATTTTTAATAAATTATTTCGATGAAATTAAGTAAATTTTCATTTCATAAAAAGCATTGTAACTTTAGTAGAAATTTAATTCTAAAACTAAAAAATTTATAAAGAAATACAAAAAATGATGATAAAATAGCATTGAAGCTTAGATCTTTATTAAAAAAATTATGAAATATTTTTATATTTGTAGCTTGTCACAAATCACAGAAAAGAAATAAATCCACAAACCTAATAATGAGATTTATATGGTGAATTATATTGTTCTTTTATTAAAAAATTTTCATGTTCAATATTGTTTGTAGAATTCAATTTTTGAAATTAATGTTATTCGAGTTGTTATTGTTAATGTCAAGAATAAAAGAAAATATTAATATAAAAGATAATAATTTCACTTAATATCTAAAGTATTTTATATTCCATTTTATAAACTAATTTTTTAGTAAAATAAAATGAGTATAAATAAAATCAATATTATATGAATTCAAATTTCTTTGAGCACGGTTTTGAGAATTTTTTCACGCAGCTGTGCTGCATTACTCGTTACCAGCCTTATTGGTTTTCACATTTAGTATTTCTGAATTTTCGACGATTTCAGTAAACTTCACATGCCTTGAGCAGTCATTACTTCCTACAAAAATAATGTTTAATATGAAGAAATTTCTTTTTTTATACATTTCCTTCAATCTTTCATCCATATTTTATATCGATCAAAGGTCTGAAAAATATAAAATAATCAATGCTTATTTACTTTCTAAGCTCAATTGTATATTCAACTCACATTATGTTATATTCCTTATTCAACATGCTTTTATTCCTCAAATGTGAAATTTGAAATAAATGTATGGTAAGTAAATATATTACTATTACAATATATAATTGCCTTTAGTTCCAGAGTTTCTCGTATCATAATTAATTTCTCAGTTTTGTAACTCGTTCTGTTAATGGCAATCTTTTTGATAGATGATCTGAATTTGGAACAATAAATTCGTGATATGTCATCCGCTGCAAGTGGAAAGATATTTTTCCATGGAGACTCTGGTTTCACTGGTTCAGAGAATTGTGATAATTACTGATTAATTTCAACTTTACAAAATTTTGATTTAAATAAGCGAGTCCAATTTCCAAGACTAAATGTAAATCTTGCTTCATATAACCAGCATATTCATCTCCAACATCCTGATATTTCTCCTTATTTATTATCTTCTTTTTATAATTATTACTCTACTACGATTTGACAACTGAAGTGCCGGAAATATTCTTGATAGCTAAAGTGATATTGCTGGAGTTTTTCTGCCAATTTGAATATAAATATTTTTTTATTTTTATCACAATAAATAAGTTTTAATATTTTGTGCTAGGTGTAACCTAGTAAAGTTACACAATTAATATGTGGGTACTCTAAACTTTATCATATGACCTTAATGCATATGTAAATAAATTTTATATGCTTTATCATTTTCATGCATCTTTATAGCCTGGCATTTTTTATAAATGATCGACATCATTAAAATTTTATTACAATGGAATAAACAATCCTGTGCATACGATTTTCTGCTCGAGTAGTATTAAATCAAAAAAAATATATATACGCAGTTTGCGTATTAAACAAAGAATTCATAGAATTCATGTACTCATGAATTTTTAATTAATTATCAAATTTACCCTGTACTGAGGCCATATCTTTTGCATATTTTGGAATTTTTCCTTATACTAGGGTACAGTAATTTATACAAGTCTACTTTAAATCAATTGTAAATCGTTTATTGTTATTTTAATGCCAAATAGAAATTTTAATTTAAATCTTTACTCCTTGATTTTCATTCTTAGTTAAGAATATTTAGTTTAGTATAATAAATAATATTCCGTAAATTTATCAGTGAACTTTCACTATAAAATTACATTTAAATCTTCCACGTCCCTTTATTAATATAACTCATGCAGTTAACATTCTCTACTCATTGAATTTAAATTAATATCGTTTCTAGTGATTTTAAATATAAGTTATATTGTGCTGCAACTAATAATCTTTACAAAGAACAATGACAATCACGTCCTACTCTGAAATTGTTATAAAAAGGAAAATACGAATAAAAAACATATGTATATCTTAAACTCTTTTATTTTCATAAGAATAATAATGACATATCAATATATCAATAGAATAAAATAATAAAATTTATATAAAATAAAAAATGAATGGCTATAGGCGCAAACACAACTAATTTTTTTAGGGCCCAGAATTTTATAGGGTCGAATTATTGTGACGATAATATCAATTTGATTGGTTATAGTTGATCAAATAACTAATATTTTTGATGACATAAACAATTCTACACTTTTTTTCCCACATCTGGAAAGTCAATTAGGCGGAAAAATCATATGACCTACGGAACTTTACGACCAAAAAATTCAATGTTTTGACTTCGTGGGCGATTTACGTGTCAGGGGCGATTTTCTAGTAAGATATTTCTATGACATACCGAAAGCCCTTGTTCTTGCTACAAGATAATCTGTGGTTTATTTCTGTTCAAAGTTGAAACCCGTGAAACTTTTCCGTAAATTTTCGTAATTCTGCCAGAAATTTTTGTGCCGTAAACTGCTTATAAAAATTGACTGATAATCCGTTACACGAAGAATTTTTTATTTACTAAGTAAAGTTCTTTTGGAGGAAAGTAAACAAAATACAAGAAAAAAGTAAGATAAAATAATGTTATTAAACGAAAGAAGAAGAAATAAACCAAATTTCCACAGGTTAAAGGTTGGGGTTGATGGGTTAGGATCAGGTTTGATGGGTTGACATGTATTTAATAATAGGTCCAGCTATATTTAAACTCTTATTTACTTAATAAAATATTTTTAAAATTACAAATATATGTAAAATTTTGTGGAAGTAGTTTCCTTAACAAAACATCAATCTAAAATTTTAGGACTTTCGCAATTAACTAAATTTTCATGGACGTACAACTTTGAACGCTAATATTCCTGCTAATATCGATTCTATAGAAATGAAAAGCATATCATTTTGTATCTAAGAACTGGGGCTTTCGTTCTGTCATATAAACATCTTCGCTCCCTATCACATAATCACAGCTAAAGTCAAAAAATGAATTTTTTGATATAAAGTGTGTAGGTCATGTGATTTTCCGGACTTTATGCCTAATTAATTTTTCTTGTACATATCTTCTATTATATAATACATAGTGGTGACATAAAAATATAATTTATTGGCTGGATAAAGAAGCATTATTATTGGTAATGATTTGAGTAATTGTGTATTAATGTGATTCACAAAATTTTATCATTTCAGTTACGTAGATTTTAACAAAATTAGAAATTGATATGGACAATCAAAATTGGAATAAATCAGATATGCGAACTCGACAGCACAGGTATCTGCTAGTACTTCATAAAAGAAGGATTCTATCCCTTGAACAATATATTTAAATATACATCTTCTCGTTCTGGTGATAATATTAATTTAAAATACCTGAGAAATACTTAATTAGTACAAGTTGGAGTAAAGGAACTTTGAGATAGAGATATACGATAAAATGTGAAGAATCTGCAAATCATCAACAGATGTAGTAAAAATAAATGTCTAAATGCAAGATCTTTTTTCTAATATTCATTTTATATTGTATTTAAATGCAATCTAA